GGGGTTGAGGGTATGTGTGTGCCCATGCTGTGTCAGCTCAGTTGGTATCGTGATGGACTGCGGAACAGATGGCCCTGCTTCGAATCTGTGACTGGGCTTTCTTGAACTTGTGTCATTGTGTGGAGTTTTCAACCCATTTTAGTCTGCCACATTATTCTTTGCCGTCACGTCTCACAGATCGGAGATGTTTACCAGACAGTTGCTTTGGATTTTCCCCTATGGCCTTTTCCTTTGATGGCAAGGCTTTTGACTATATCAGCCTTGTTGTTGTTGTTGTTGTTGTTGTTGTTGTTGTTGTTGTTGTTGTTGTTGTTGTTGTTGTGTCTGATGTTACAATGTTGTTGTTGTTGTTTTTGTTGTTGTGTCTGATGTTACAATGTTGTTGTTTTTGTTGTTGTATCTGATGTTACAATGTTGTTGTTGTTGTTGTGTCTAATGTTACAATGTTGTTGTTGTTGTTGTTGTTGTTGTGTCTGATGTTACAATGTTGTTGTTGTTGTTGTTGTTGTTGTGTCTGATGTTACAATGTTGTTGTTGGTGGTGCTCTGGTGTGGTTTGCTCCTTCTTTCCTATCAAACATCTATCGTCCTTATCTCCCCTTCTTCTTTTTCATGTTTGTCACTCTCTTGTAACACATCTAATCTTCTGGCGCTCATATGACCTTATGCAGTTGTGAGCGCCGTAAAACCTCTACTAAAACTAAAAAGGGACACACAAGACATACATTCCTTGTAGATGGTAAATGACCTTGACCTCTCCCAGCTACAGCCCCGGCTTCTGGTACCTCATCAAGTGGGGCTGGGTCCAGTATGCGGCCGTCCTCCTCCTCTTCCTCGCCGTCTTCAACAAGGTCAAGGTCTTTGTCTTCCAGCACCAGGTGGTCACAACAGTCGTGGAGAGTTCCGCCGCAGCAAACGACGGTCGGAAGGACAAGTTCTCCTGAACAGCAGCGACAGCGACCTTGAGTAGATAAATAACGTATTCCTATGTTTATGACAGCCTCCATGAGTAGATAAATAAATAGTCAGTATGTTTATGACAGCCTCCATGAGTAGATAAATAAATAGTCAGTATGTTTATGACAGCCTCCATGAGTAGATAAATAAATAGTCAGTATG